TTGGTCTTGAAGTTGCCTTTGGCGTCCTTTGTGTGGCCCCTTTTTGGTTTGCATGGCCGCTCTGTGGGGAATCGAAGTGGACATGACATTTTCCCATGTGCACCAACTTGGAAATTCGTGAACACTCTGTGATGTCACAACATCCAGGGCTTAGGATGTAGCATCGAAGGTCAGCAGCAAGGCTTTGGGTATTGGGTTGTGCCGGTACACCGTTCTGCTGACAGGGCTTCTAGATTCGAGAGGAACAGTGCAGCCGTTGCGCATCTCTGATTTAAATGCCATTGCACGCCCTGACACCCATCGTCCAGCCTTGTGAAGAGCGATGCCTCGACAGTTTGGGTCAACTTTCGCTGCGTGGGGCCTCCCAAAGGTGCAGCACGCAGGTGGTTAGAGTTAGGGGGTTTAAGGAAACATCAGTTGACGTCCTGCATTTCCAGATTTTCAACTGCCTAAAACGACATTGATGAGTAAGTGAACAAGTCAAGCTCTAGGGCTGTGGTTCTTAGGATGGGGATCCCTTCTTGGCTTGAGCAATGATTTTGGAGGATGTCATGCGCAACTGCAACATGCCCATCCCCGCTAAACTACTTCTACTTCTCATGCAAGTGCTACCAACCATTGGCATAGCGGTCCTACCAGCGAAGTTCATGCTAAGACAAGCAGAGCATCGTATTGGAGCAAGTCGCAACTGAATGCGTTGGCATGCATGCTCCACCAGCCATCTTTGAGAGCAGCTGGATTGTCGTGCTGGGTAGTGGATTTTGTGACAGCGGCTTATGCTGGACTCACTTCACATTTCAAGCCTTCAACTCTGCAAACCTAACATGGCTTTCTCAAAAGCCTGGACTGAGCACTGATTCAATATGTCCACTTTGGAGTCACATGTCTTCAAAAACTTGCTCGGGCCCATCTCAACTGACGGGCGGAATGCTGGGCGAAATACACCGACGCAAGACTGGTGGATAGTCTTGTTCAATAGATGTCTGTCTGAAGCGGCTCAAGCTCCACCCCTGTTGCCATGAGGGAGAGGCTTGGACCTCTGTTTCGGATCTGTCAACGTGTTGGCTCAGATACAAAGGCTACAGAAACACATTGTCCGCTCCGAACTCTGACCTTTCACTTTCGGCTTGCCAATTGTTAAACCTCCTGGGCCAGTACAGTTTTCTATGCTGGCCTGCGCTAGCGCAAAGCGGTACAGTTTTGTACACTGTCATGCGCTGGCGTGGTGCAGGAAGGAGCTCCGTGTCTGCCTCTGTGCGGTAGACCGGCGTCGAACTATGCTTGGAACTATGCTTGCAGACTTCTACAACTTGTGCTCCACGTAGGGGCCAGCGCCTGCAGCCAGCACCAAACGAGTCACTCTTCGGCACTCGGACCGATCGCCTGCCAATCCTTGCTTTAAAAACTCGGGTAGAGTGCGTCCCCTTGCAAAATCGGCAGCAACCCAGCCCCTGCAATTTGTGAGTTCCAATCTCGCGCCCGCCGCAATTAGACCAGCAGCACCTTCATACTGCGAAGAAAAGACAGCAGCCATGAGTGGTGTCATTCCATTGAAGTGATAGGCAAGTTCCGACAGTACCGTAGCCTTACCCAGCCTGTGCTGAGCCGACTTCATTCTAAAAATGAAGCCTAAGGGAGATGCACAGCTGAGCCTCCACTGGAAATTCACATCGGCACGGAGGTTGACAAGGCGGTGCACGCTCTCAGCGGTGCCTCCGCGAAACACCATGCCCGGGCAAAGCGCATAGGATAGTGTCGGAGCATCAAAAACTGCCTGGCTGAGGAGCTCCTCCCGAGCGGCAACAGCTCCGAAATAGCAGGCGATTGCCAGAGCGGGAGCACCGAAGAGGGATCGGCCATGGGGATCTCCCCCAGCATCACATAGCAGTTGTATTCCTCGGATGATCTGAAACGACCCAGCAGAAACCTACGTTTACGGGTTCTTGCACAACTCCGGCTCTTGTCTTCATTCAAGTGAGAAAGAAACCTTTCTTTTTGAACCCTTTTTCCACAGACTTGATTAGTGCTCGCCCGGCCAGAATCCCCAAGCACACCGCACTCGTGGAAACCCTAAACCCTAAACCCTATGAATAAGCCCGGCTTCCCTCGGCATTGTCGGAAACCGCCGCGCTGTGTATGACTGGGCCCAGAAGGCCCTTCAGCCGGGCCCCAAAATCGATCAGAACTCGGCCAGCATCGTTGTTCCCATACATCATTGCGAGGTCCTGGGGGATTATTCTACCTGGACCCTAAGGAACCTACCTTTTTAGGGTTTCCTAATATGATTTCTATATATAAGTCCTTAAAAGGGTAGGTTACGTGGGCTTAAGGTAGGGCTGACAATTAGAGAAGGGCTTTAGGGCCCATTGTACGTAATTGTAAAAAGGAACCCATCAAATAGTATTGGATTGGTTGAAAAGCCCAGGACAAAGCACCTACAAAGAAACAAGCTGTCGTCCCGTACGGTAGCATACTGTCCGGGGTCGTGCTGAAACCGAAAGCGAGGGTCGAGAGCTGACGTCCAGATGGCAACTCCCAGATTGGGCTCATCCTTGGCAGTCCGCCGATTGGGTTCAGCACCCTGTTGCAGCAACGCGGCAAGCAGCTCCGCGTTGCCACCAAGGGCAGCGTAGTGCAGCGAAGTCCACCCCGCCCTGTCGACTTCGCGCACGCAACGCAGGCCGTTCTCGTGCAAGAACTTGGCAACGATGTAGGCCTGTTGGTCGAGTGAAGGGATAGGGTCGAAGCCGGGCACGAGGTCCTCCACACACTCAACTGTCAAGCCGCGGAAGTAGAAGGGCTGCAGATTGAGAATGCGTCGGTACGCTGGCAGGTCTGTCGTTTTGAGGCAGTGATGCAGCTTGCTCCTCACAACGCTTTGGAGTACAGGGCCAAGCTTGTCGCGGTCGTCCTCCACTCCAAAAACACCAGTGCCCACGGGCGCCATGGGAAATGACAACGATGCCCCAACTATTTCCAAGGAAGTGGCACTTTTCACCAAGATCCAGGCGTGGTCTGCGGAGATCTCTCGCACCACTCTTTCCATTCTGCACCATCCGCGCTGGCCCCAGCTGCTCGGAGACAGGACTGAGTCCTCCATGAACGGAACCAGACCGAAAAAGAAATGGCATTTGCCGATGTAGGCTGGGATGCTTTGAATGGCCTTCCCTCGGTCATTGCCCTCCGCAGATGCGGACCGTTCCAGCTGTGGACAGGAGAAGTAGTCATACCATAGAAGCAGAGGCTCTAATTGAAATGCTTTCAATGAAATTGCCCTGGCAGAGAGCACCGCAGCTTCTGTGGACACATCCAGGGGCACGAGGCCAGTGTCTAGCAGGAGATGGCGTAAGGCATCTTGCAGGACCTTCATTTGCTTCATGTCTGGGTCCGGGTGCTGCGAGGCCGCCCACTGATGGGACACGAAACCAGCTTTGCCTTGTGTGCCATCGAAGACGATGAGCATGTCCAGGGCCTGTTACAGTTTCTGCTCCTCTTGCTCTGCTTGGGGGTACTTGCCGAAACAAGACATGTTGGATATCCAAAACGGCACCGAAGGAAGGAGACCGAAGGCAGACCGAGGTCTCCCTCTTCGAATGTTTGCTTGCTCCTGGTTCGTTGTCTCTGTCTTTGTTCTGGCGAGTTGCCGCTCAAAATTGAGCGACAACGGCAATAAGACAAAGACAACAAACAAAAAACACGGATGTCGAAGCGGTCCCAAACCCTCGACATTAAAAAAACCCTCACCCTCAATCCTAAGCCCTGAGCTGCTGTGAAAGTTTCAGCACTCTCGGCCTTGAGATCCTCGTGTGGCTGAACTTTCGTCATGCGCAACAAAACCTCTGAGGACACCGTGTACATTGGGAAGAGCATAGGCGCAGCCTGGCCAAATTCAGAAGGGGCTTTCCTATCTACTGTTTCCGCTACACTGCTTCAGGGATATCCCCGCATGATTACATCTCAACCTACAGGCCCAAGCAACAATACGTGTAGCTTTCTATGTGCGTGTGTGTATATATATATATATATATTTATACGTATATACATATCTGTGTGTATCTAAGGGAGAAGGCCCTGATTACAGATCGCCCACCTGATGGCTAGTCTTGCACACAAGTCAACAAGCTACGAAGCCACGCCTCATCCTCCCCGACCGTCAAGCACGCCCGCAGGGATGCCGCATGGCGCCTTGTCTGCTCATACTAAGTTTCGTCGTTTATATAGACAGGTCTACAGTCCAAAGTCTGAGCAGGTCTATGGCGAATTGGAGGGTGGAACGCTGTGGAGCCCATACAGCTCCCAGTTTTACAGTGCTTTTCCAAGTTTATAGGAATTTGCAACATAGAATGACATGCACAAAGTAGCTTGGCCAAACAATTCCTGATTGACACAACAAAATACGTTGTCTTGTCTTCCCTTCTACAAATTCTTGTAACTTTGCAGCCCCCCTGCAGCCCATCAGCCCTCCTTCATTTCCCTTTTTTTCCTCATGTTTCGTGGACCCCTCACTCCCGTTCAGGACCCTAAAGCCGGCCCATGAACCATGAAACCACTGAAACTCCACAATTCCCTGACAGATCCATGGTTCCCCTGAGCAAGTCCTCGCAGCAAGACCGCAGGAGAAAACACAACAACCTGAAACCCCAAATCGTGTGACAACTAAATCCAAACCCTGATGCTCAACTTGCCACCAGACCCTTCGTACAGAGACAGAGGCCCAGAAGAACAAGAACAACATAGAACAACAAACTTAGAGCCCGCTAAGGCTCTCCAGCGCGGTGGGGGAACCTGCACGCCGTCTGCAAGACATGGGAGCCGGTGCTCTTTGAAGATCATGGGATAGTGGCTCTATCGGATGAAACCAGGCCGCATGTCGATGTCATCAGAACTCTGACGCTGGCTAAGTGTGGGAAAGCACCGAATCTGTATGAAGCAGTAGAATTACTTGTTCTACCCACGAACCTCTCAGTTCTGGAATGCGTTATTTGCTGATCCCCTCTGCAACTTGCTCTCAGAGTCTACATTCAACAATTGCAGCTCTACGTCCAAAAAGCTGGGACAGGGCAATCGCTTGAGCCTTCAGACGTAGAAACATCTAAGACATGGTCTGTAGCTGTTAGCCAGGAACTCAAGTGGCCCTAACTCTTGAAGCAGGAGTCAGAGGTTCTTGAAAACACCTCGAGAAGGGGGGCATGTTATGTCAGTGCATGGATGCACCTCAGTGCCTCATGTTGGGGTGGGTCGAACTTTTGTAGCCCGAAGTGTGGATTTTGGGAGGGTGTTGCCGTTTTTTCTCAGCATTTCGGCTCCTGAGATTCTGAAGTGCTTCGCTCAGATCAGTGACACGCGGGCACACACAACAATCTACTATTTGCCAATTCTGTACCTAAAAAACTCTTGAAAGGGAAGGATTTTTCCGCCCTTGCAACATTCTAGCAGTTGCGAGAATGGGTACTTGGAGGTTCATGGGTAGTTATAAGTGGAATTATAAGTCACCTAATATGGGTTATAATACCCTACTTAGAACCCTACTTATAACTCCCCATGTTGTTTTTGGGAGTTCAAACATGGGAGCTTCCGAGAATGGGGGACCCGAGTATAGTACCCTAAATAGTAGGATCCTTATTACGAGGATCCCAAAATATGGTAACCCCAATGTTCGGAAACTCCCAAATGGAGGCGGGGCGTTGTGGAGGAGATCGATCCCTGCAGCAGGATCCCCGAACTCCGGCCATACGATGCAAATGCGTAGTTGTCAACATTAGTTTTTGGGTACCCTAAATAATAGGTGCCGCATCATAGTAGGGATCCAAAAAGGGACCATAATTTTGACAACCACCCAAATGTGTGAAGGCTTTTCTCATGTGAAGAGATATCTGCACAGGCTGAAGTTCGCACGTACATGCAGCCTCTGCATGGTTCCAGTTTCATAAGGAGCACTCCAAGTGCAGACAGATGGATGAGGAAGACGACGACATCGATGACCTGAGACAGTCATCTATATAAGTGAGTACTTCTATTTGGGCCAGGATGCAGTATATCGGAGGTGTAGGGTTTAGGGGCTGGGTTGAAGCCAAGAGAGTTTGCAGCAACTTCGAGAAACAATAAACATGTCACAAACCCACTGGGACCTTCATGCCTGCAGGTCTGAGTGGAGGCTCCCATTGACAATGTCTTGCACGTTGCGAGCGGCTGCCGTGTCATGCTGATGTTGTGCCTTGAGTAGTCACCGCAATCAACATCATTTCCATATTTCACTGGCTGAGGAGCCAGCCTGCATTGAGCGGACGAGAACGCTACACAAATGGCAGCAGGAAAAGAAAGACCGCGTGGAAGAGATCCCTAACTCTTTCTGATCGATCTATCTCTCTCTCTCTCTCTGTCTCCATCTTTGGGACAATCAGCACAAACCGCATCAAGCCGCATGCTTGCCTGCTTGTTTGACGTGGAGCAGGTCAACATGTCCATGTACATGCGTACATTTCGGAGACCATCACTGGGAACGGGGAACCCCCCAAGAATTAATTCAAGTGATGCTCGGCAGTGGCTTGATCCTTTCGCATTATTGCTTGTTGCCTCGGGTCTCTGGTTGGAAGAGGGATTTTGGCATCGTCCTTTGGCTGGCAAGGATTACGGATTTTACTGTACCAGATTCACCTGCAGAAACGAAGACTGCTCCACAAGTCGACACACTCTTTATTCAACGCCAGCATAGGTGGACCTATGAACTAGTTTGGTGAAGCCAAACTGTCGACTAGGCGCATTACCTTTCGCCTCATAGCATGACCGAGTGAACAGTTGGCTCCACTAATATTGAAGCCTTTTCCGCATGCTTCTTCCGGAGAAAAACGTTTTACGACGCATCACAAGAAGAAGATATGATGCCATACATCACAATAAGAAGAAGTAAAGACTTCTGGATGCAAGAAGCAAGCTATCTTGCCAAGTGAACCAACTCAAAACAAGCTATACTCAACACGATGCCCAAAGGTCCATCTTGCCAGTGCGCAATGTTCACTGAAGCTTAGAACACTCTCAACCATGGCAAGGGTAGAAGTGTGGGAGCACAACCAGAACGAAAAGGGAATATGCGGTGAGCGCGGAAAATCTGGGAAGGTCGTCTGGCCGAACCCCGCTTTTTAATTCTCCCTCTCCACTTCTTCCACTTGCGCTTGCAGTCGGCTGCAGCTCGCAGATCCGAAGCTCAGTTTAGCAGGGACGAATGGATTCGACTAAGCGTGAAGCAATCGAAGCAATCGCCCCAAAAAGAGTCGCTTGGCTTCTCCAGAAGCAGCCCTGAGCCGGCCCTTTAGCCAGCTGCCGAATCTGAGCCCGTCCTTGCAGGAAGTCACTTCAAGTGGTGATCGTCGACAGTTTGCTGGCGACAAATCTGAGCCGTGGGCGTTGCGCTGCCATTGACGTGTTGACGCTGGTTCGCCATTTCTGAGAGATGCCCCCTGCCACAGATATTTCAACATTGACAGATTCGGTGCCTCACCGCTGTGCGACGTGGCCAGGGGCGGGCGCACCTCAAGGCGTGGAGCCTCTCCTGTGCATGCAAGACAAGTTGTGCTCTCTGTCATGCTGCGGCGAGTCAGACAGAGCAACTCTGGAGAGAAATGGCAAAGAGACTTGACTTGAAGGCTGCGCTACGATGGAAGCTACTGCTTCCTTCTTTGGTCTCCACCGGCCCTGGACTCCAAACAGATGGCAATGCACCAAAAACGAATCCCAAGCCCCTTGGCGTCCTGGATGCTGTCCAGATCACCAGTGGAACCTGTGCGAATTGAGTCGTTGGTCCAAGCTCTTAGGGATCGGGGCCTACGTTTCAATGTGCTGTTTCTTTGTGGTGTGTGACAGGGCCAATCTCTCCACGCAGAAGCAGTCTTTGGGAGCACAGTTGAGCCGAAGTGACGGGAAGGATAGGCAGCTGATGCCGGCGATCCAGTGCTCGCAGTTGACGAGTTGTCCTGAGGCTGCTCAGTAGGGGCTGGCATGGATCGACCGACATCTGCTGGGCAACCGCACTAGACCCTGGCCGCGATTCGCAAGGTGCTGCAGTCCACCACCTTACACCAGAAGAGCACAGCAGGATTCGGCCAAAGGAGATGCTTCGCGCACGCACATCAGGCTGTAATGCTGCTGCTGCTGCTGCTGCTTTCTACCGAGAGCATACGGCATACGCTAATACACCGTGTTCCACCACCTCAAAAACTCAAAAGAACAGATACCGTAAGCGAGTGATCAGCCTAGCATTTCCTTACTTCCGTAATACAGGGCTGTTACTGCAAGGGGATACTACCTGGCATTGAGATTGACAACCTGTCCAGATTGTGTGAAATGAGCATCGATGCGGATGGGCTGGGCTGGGCTGTTTTTCCTGTTACATGCGACAGCTAACTGCTAGGATTGTTCAGAAATACAAACACCTACCCACAATTGAGAAGATCCAACATCACATGACCCCCCTGAATTTTCATGACTAGGCCTCCGGACTCGAATGGAAAAGGCCTTTGGAGATATCCACTTTGCTCTGTGGAAGACCTGCCATGATGGCAACGATAGGTATTAGTAGCAGAAGAGTAGTAGTAGTAGTAGTAGTAGTAGTAGTAGTAGTAGTAGTAGTAGTAGTAGTAGTAGTAGTAGTAGTAGTAGTAGTAGTAGTAGTAGTAGTGGTAGTGGTAGTAGTAGTAGTAGTAGTAGTAGTAGTAGTAGCAGTAGCAGTAGTAGTAGCAGGGGTTTGGGCTCCCACTTGTCAGCGTCCGATGGACCCTGCATTGCAGGTTGTGCGTTGCCTACGCGCGAAGGAAGACCACTTTTCTGAACAGGGCGCAGTATAAACTAAGATCACGGTCCATCATATCAAATGGCAG